GGCAAATAGGGTTCTCAGGGGGCTTATTTAAAACTGCGGCGCTCCATGAGTGCTCCCGGAGTTTTAGCGCGAACTTTCACGCACCAATAGTCCACGTTCGGTTACATGATTTTCAAGCGCGGGTATTTAATGCAAAAGTTTCGATATAACACTAAACCTTAAGTAAAGCACTGTTCAGGCTGATTTATAAAAAACATCCCCGCGTTATTCTCGTCTGTCTCTCCGGCCGGTTCCCTCGCTTGCCATGTTTCCCGAATTTTAATTTTTAAAAGTCACTTTTTGGGGTAACACAGAGCAAAAACTCGTTATTGCCGGAGCTCTTGCTGATTTTCAGAGAGAAAGTACATTTTTTAAATCTTTCCGATCAGATCTTCCAAGAACCAGAAAGTGAGAGGGCCGGATCTGCGGTCCTTTGGCAGCTCTACTGCACTCAGGGAGGCTCAATACAGTGCATATTATGACTAAAGGAGGTTTGAGGAAGACTTTAAAAAGCATCGTGAAAGGGACACTATTTGGAGAGTCTTTAGTGTAAGTTTGAAAAAGGACCCTTGCTACTGTCTTGATTAAAAATACACCCTGGAAAATTCTATTATTTTGTCCAGCAGGGACGGATACCGTAAAATTTGCAAGACCATCATTATATTTCGTTTTGTATTTCGTATTTGGTAGTGAGATATTATAATAATCCCTTTTAGGGTTCTTTTTCTTGAGATACACTCCTGAATTTTATCCAAGGCTCAAGAGCTAGTCAAGTATCTGATTTTATGCTCAAGGTAATCTGAAACCTCCCGAATCACGATGTAAATCATATGGGGCCTCGTGAAGGGAAAACAGCTGCTCAATGAATAACTATGAACACTAGAGTACCTGTATAGGGAGAGTTCCGACAGATCGGTTCATGGAGGGCTTAGGGCCCAAAAGTGCAGCCACCTTCTAACCAACTTCTAACGCACAAAACACTGCCAGTCTGCAGATTCCAATTCTAACCAAGATGGCCAAGAATGTACAGAAATGAGCGTTCTTCCGCGAAATTGAGTAAATTTATGCAAAAACTGAGTCAAACACGTGCTTAATAAAGGACGGTTCGTAACAATAGTATCAGTAAATCGCTCTGGATAATTGAAATTCATAGGTTGGCTGCCTTTGGGCCCTAACTTTATTCGTGGAGGCATCGGTGAAGGCCTGATGGACTTTCGGAGTTTCAGATCTGTCGCTACTCTCCCTATACAGGTACTCTAATGAACACATCGGACGAAAGTCAGTTTTGGGTAATGAATCACTCTGTCCTAATATAATCGTTAATGAGTGAAAAATTGAGCAATGTGTTCAATAAATAAGAGCTAGCAGCACCTGCACTGCGATTCTCTTTAAATATGTTAAAGAAGCCTCGAAAAACTGTCTTTGAATGTAAAACACAGTCTTACGCAATCCAAAAGGTCGAATCTGAACCTTCGCTCTTCTTCTAATGGCAAAGTTTTCGTCCTTTCTGTGCTCGTAGCGTCTCTCTAACACCATCGTTGAATCCAACTTATGTGCTTTATTGCGTGCACAATTTGTTTTCTTAGGTGTAGCTCTTTTCTACATCAAATAAATTTCGACTTTTTCTTCTACTATTTATAACTCACATTATCCACGATTTATCCCCATGCAAGTATACTTTAAGTCTCAGAGGAGTCAAGCTGCATTGAACGAAGTAAAACCATTAGTTTGGATTAATGAAGAAGATCTATTGCCATGGTGATGCTTGTCCCCAATGAATGTTTTAAAAAATATTATCTCTAAATCTAAGTGTATTTCAGTTTTATAAGTTTGATTTGAATCTTTAATTTCCAGATTCGAGAGAATACTTAAATAATGTTTTTTTCTGAGCGATAAACTGAAAACTGTTCTTCGGGTCTAAAATTGATATCTTGTGTATCATGATTAATTTTTTCAACTTAGTTTTCTTTACAGTAAATGAAAGTATCGTTGTGCGAACTAAATGTTTAACAGCTCTTTGTTCATTTTCGTTGCAAAATACGAGTATTTTTCTAATGGTTAAAAAAATATGCAAGTGAATGTTAAAAGTGTAGATTGTTAAGTTAAAATGTATTCGTGCAGTAATTGCAGTATCGACATTGATGTTGGATTTGAAAGAAGAAAAACACTATCTAAAGTTCGATTTCAAAAATAAGAAATGATTTACAAATGAGTCAAATAAAAGTGCCGTAGAATCAAACTAACCTAGACTAAAAGTCTCTCGTTTTCCCAAAAATAAGGTGCATCAAGTATGACGAAAATTACTGTGAGTTTCACTTTTAAATGATCTAATTACGCCATCAATTCAGTCACCATCAATTTGGGCGCACCACAAGTCCCTGACTTCTCTTTGTCCCGTGAGGCAACAGTTAACAATAAGCTGCGGTAGGTCCTCCGCCTGTAATTTTGATCTGTAACTGTGCTCATTAACTGATTCCTAGCCAAAGGCTCTCAGTGAGTCTCAGATTTCTGTCAAGAAAGTTTTCCAACTGGACTTCGTCTTGCATTGAACCGAAAACTTAATCAATTAAACGGTTCGTAATCGGTTTATCGAAGTGTTATTTAGACCCAACCGGTAGAGAGAATTGGGCATAGATTCGTGACTGCTAACTTCAGCGTGGCCCTCTGTGGCTCGATTGTTGAATCGATATCGAATGACTGTGATCCATGAAATACATTGCTGAGATATGGATTAGATTGTTGAATCGATATTGAATAATATAGATCGATAAAATGCATTGCTAAGACAGGGATTAATCAATCAGGATCATTCGATGACGATTCAACAATCGACCCGCAGGACAGCGGGCTGATTATTGAAATTGATAGACGAAGCTATAGACAAAGAGGGCGAAAGGGATATGAAGAGATCTTTTCTGTGAAAGCGAGCAGTTGCAATAGACAAAGAAGGTAGGTAATGGACTAACTAACAGCAACCCACGAGAGATCCTATAGTCAGTCCATTATTTTCTCCCGTAGTCTATTCTTGAAACCATGCATTTCAACCAATAGGATCGCTCCATACTCTCCCTCTCTTCTTTGTCTATCGCTTTGTCTATCAATTTTAATCATCAGCCCGCTGTCTTGTGGCTTGATTGTTGAATCGATATTGAATGATCATGATCGATAAAATGCATTGCAATCGATCAGGATTGTTCGATGACGATTCAACAATCGACCCACAGGATAGCGCTCTGATTATTGAAATTGAAAGACAAAACTATAGACAAAGAAGACATAGGGAGTATGGAGCGATCCTATTGGTTGAATTGCATGGTTTCAATAGACTACGGGAGAAATAGATGGACTGGCTATAGGGTCTCTCGTGGGTTGCTGTTAGTTAGTCTATTACCTACTTCCTTTGTCTATTGCAACCACTCGCTTTCACCAATAAGATCTCTCCATATCCCTATTGCCCTCTTTGTCTATAGCTTTGTCTATCAATTTCAATAATCGGCCCGCAGGGACACTGTTGATTGGACTGTCAGTAATGCAACCCGATTCTCAGTTTCGCAAGGAAGTTTGTACATTTCCCCATCCTTTTTTATTTCAGTGTCCTGATATAATCAATTTAGCGCTGTGGGTGCTGAACGATGAACTGGAAATGATATAGACTTCATCTAGGTGGATTTATAATTGAATATTTTAAGATTTGCATTTCATCACCACTCTTACGTACTTAAATTGACAATGACAGCATTTAAATACGCTTCTATCACAGTTGCGAGGTGTGAATGATCAATCATCGACAATTTCCAATTTGAAGCTATTGTAAAGAATCTATTATCAAGACGTTCGACATCCACGAATCTGCCTTCTTAAGAGCATAAACAATGACTACTGTCGTTGTTTAAGAGTTTCCGGCGGCTGACAAATCAGCGCAGTTTCATAAGAGGTGCGGGCATTATGTTACCACTTGTAAATAAACCAAGGGGAAATTAGTTCGATTTTATGTATTTTTTTTTCTCAGTTTAAATGACAGTAATCCATACAGAGTGTGCAAAAACGAAAGTTCAGTAACGAGTCGAAAAGTGCTGACTCCGCGAGTTAAACTAATGGCAGTAAACACAGTCCAGTCGGTGCGGAACGCATATGTGAGCCTAAGAGACTGTAGGAATACTTCACGCACTGCGGGTTTACCACGCCGCGGCGCGGCGCGGTGGGCGACCAGCGCGATGCGCGCATTGGCGCCTACAAACCTAACAGGGATACTTCACCTATTGCGCGATGCGCGCATTGGCGCCTACAAACCTAACTGGGATACTTCACGCATTGCGCAATGCGTGAAGTATCCCAGTTAGGTTTGTACGCGCCAGTGCGCGTTTCGCGCTAGCCGCGCGCCGCTCCGTTTGGCTCTAATATTTAAACTCGCGGAGTCAGCGTTTTTCGAAACATGATTTTGAAATGTTTGCGCACTCTGCATGAATTATTCTCATTTATATTTATGAAAAAAAAAATTGGTATCAAAGGAATAATATATTGTGTGTTTTGTAAATATTAACGTGGTTCCGTGTCAAATTTAATAATCTCCAAAGCACTTTAATGTTTTATTTCGTATTTTGTATCTATACTGTGCTGCAGTGTGGTGTGTGCGTAACCAAACGCTCAGTATCGGACGTATTTGACTTAATCCATTGTGCGCTGCCACTNGGGGGGGGGGGGGGGGATGGATCCAGAGTTTAGACTCTTGAAAACATTGACAATAAGAAATACTCTTGATAAAATCGGATTTTTGATTGAATCGAAAGGAAATCCGCTTAAATTAAGAGGCTTGGTTCTTGATTTAAGCTAGATTCTGATTGAATCAAGAGTAGTTTTTCTTGTCGATGTTTTTAAGAGTCTGGACTCTAGATCCAATGTGTTTTTTTCCAGTGATGTCTGGCCGCTTCGCACCTCAGGCGTTATACTATACGTAACTCGTCACTCTTATGATTTTACAATGTAGATTATGATACTAATTTGATTTGTTTTCTTTGTTACAGTTACGATGTTCGCGGCCGTTCCCTGTCGGAGGCGAAACATTGGTCCGAACCTGAACCGCTCGGCCTCGGGCAGCGTGCCTCGTTCTCCGCGTCGGGCGACCCGGCCGTGCTGCTCGTCGACCAAGTCCGCCTCGAGGACGAGGGCGTCTACAGGTGCCGCGTCGACTTCCAAAAGACTCCCACTCGCAACTTCCAAATCAACCTAACCGTCATAGGTAAGACCTCTCAACCATTAAAATCCATCCAAGACGCGTTGTTAAAAAGCGCATCTCGATGGTTAAGAACACCTAACTGACAACTTTCGCGGAAACGAATTGGTGACTTTTTCGCATTCTACAGTACATTATTTTTACGCAAGATGATGGTCTTAATTTTTTCTAATTCCGCATGGGAGTGCTGAAATGACGCTGTAATATTTTCAAGAAGTTGCAAACGCAATCTCAAAATTACGAAAATAGCAAATTTTTTCTGCGTCTTGTAAAATCGGTAGATCGCAGATAGGCTCGTTAAAGAAAAACGCCGTATTAATATTCGAATGTTGCGAAATTAACTCCCAGAAAATATTTATTTCTGAGTGAATGCCTTGACATTTTTGGCACTTAGGTCCAATTTTGATCAAACTTCTCTGAAAAATTGGGAGATTCGTATCTACCGATTAGTCTGAAAATTCGTTATTTTCCCAATAAAATTTGGCAGGGTTTGAAGGCTCATACGGCATTCTTTCTTGACACGGCAGCATTGTTTCTTAGCCATTGAATTGCGTCATTAATGATTCGTTTCAAGGATGTATTTACCGCAAAGTGGATGATAAAGAAAATTAATTGACATTATGTGTTAATTTCGGAAGCGTTGGGTTACTTTGACCAAATTTTTGTCTTGAAAAATTGAAACCTTGTTAAAAATCAGGCGCGAGTTATCATGATCGAAACTGGATCGTAGTCCTGATAGTACAATGCTTCCTTCACTTTCCCTCCATCCTCAGATGTCTCAGGCTAACCGCAAATTGAGTCGAGCAACTGAATCGGATTGACTGACCTAATCAAAGATAACCAACCCTTAGTAATCATTAGTACGGAAATTTTCAATCGTATAGGCCACCACTAGGGTGATCTAATGGTCGTAAGTAAACAATTTGGCAATAGCTCATGTGGTTTGGTTCATTTCTGCTCAGCGCGATCCAAATACGTCCAAATGACCATCTTCGCTCTGTATATAGGCACTCTACTTTTTTTAAGTCCGGTACTTTTCGATGAAAACATGACAACGAGGTGTTCCCTATCATTTATTTGACCTACATCATCCTCGACCTTTGCAATCCAAAGCAGGCAGCGTTCAACGTCTGGGGAGGTTCGCCGGCATCCGGGCGGACTTTTTTTTTATGAATCCCCTCAATAATGGGCCCTTAACATTTTCACGGAGCACTCTTCCTCGCGGGTTAGCGCAACTTCGACAACGGCGTGGAACTTCCGACGGGACGATAGGAAAAGTTGCCGGGTACTCGTAAAGGATGCTCATTAAAAACCCCACCGAATTTTTTGAGAGGCACACCGCGCCGCACAGTGAATCGAGTTAAAATGAGAGGTCGAATAAAATATGGAAACTTTAAAAGCTTATAACTCCATTCATACAAAACTTCGAGGTCCTAAAAGTGGTTGTATCGATTTTCTCGTTAAATTTTCTTCAAAAAGCACCCCTGAAAGTTTAAAATGTGACGAAATACACATCGAAATTTGCAGTTTTATTGAAAAATTTGATGTTCGACTTCCGTAATTGACTCGATCCACTGTGCGCCACTTCGCTGAAGTTCTGCAGTGTTAAAAGAAAAAACGCCGTAACTGCACTCAAAATTTTCCATTTCTCTCTGACAAATTATTCATTTCCAAGGCAGTTTATAAATTCCTTTTCGTGAAATCTTCAGAAATACTTGATTGAATCATACGTAAAATTTTCCGAAAATTTAATGGATATTAATTCACAACTTTCAAAAGAAATTCGTATCTTTTCGGTAGAAATGTGGCAACTTTTTGATGTTCTTATGGCGTTCTGCTTCTGGAGGGTGGAGTTGCGGGTGCGACGGAGGTCAAGTTGAGTTTCCACAAAGCGGGACCTTCTGAGAGCACTGAGAGCGTCGTTTAGTGGAGAGCGTTTTGCGGTGCGGCCATGGGAGGGGGAGGGGAAAATATAGGGACCAATCAATGAAGAATCCCTGTTATTGGGGAGAGAATGCGGCGGTTTTGTACATAATGAATAAGGGGTATGACTTCTATAGTTCGAGAACAATCGCTAGACAACCTGTTAACTGGAATGAAAGTTTTTAATACTCTTCGATGCAACGAGAGGAGAGGGGAGGTTTTTGCTTTAGAACTTAGTGGCTCTATACACAAGCCTTCAACTGACCAAACCGCAGCCCAGAATGAGCGTCATTTGCATTACATTTTTCAGTAAGGAACCACTATTTCTGGTTCTTTTTAGAAACAACGTGTATGCTATTGGTTTTTCCTATGCAGGAAGGTGCTCTTATAGAGGAGCTAGAGATGGTGGTTCTTCATTGCAAAATGTAATCCATTTAATCAGTTATCGAGCGTAAGTGCATGTCTAAATTGTACTGTCCCAAAATCTCCGTGAACATATTATTTTTAAAGCATACTTCGGTTGCACCTGCAGGTTTGGGAACTGCATACATCGATATCCTCAAACGCAACTTATAGAATACACACACGGCACTACCCTTCATGGGGCTTTTTTTTTACATAAAATTGAAGACAATTTTAAGTAAATTTCTTTTATAAACTTCCTGCGGGCAAAAACGAGGGGGAAAAAGTGGTGAACAGTAAAATGTAAGAGGAAAAGTCGCAGCCCATAAAAATTGAGGATATAGTTTGTTGATTTTTACGTAAATGTTACGTTTCCTTTTAATTAAAATAACACTATTTTTTTATTTAAAAGAATTCCCCAAAAGGGTTTCCTAAAACGAGTATTTTAAGAGTTTTTTTACTTAAAATGTACAAGTTTTTTACATTTATTTTGTCAAATTTTTGTAGGATTTTCTTTAAGAGCCATTGCTACTAGGGCGTTCTATTTCCACTAGCTTGCATTTTCTGTGCAAGTGCCGTTAGTTCGTATGATAGAAAAAATCATTAAACTTGTCCCCTCATTTATTTATCAGTGAATAAGAATAAAAATGAGCACATTGCTATTATCGAAAAACTCTTGAAATAGAATGCGTGAAAGTTTGCGTTTCAGGATTCAGTGTGCTTTCAAAGTCTGCGGAGCCCTTGACCGAGCATGGAGAGCCCTCTGCAAACTTCCACGGTCATCAAAATACTCCATAAAAGCGGTTTAAACCATGTATTTGATCTATACGGTTTCACATAATCTTTTGAGAGAGCCCTCCGTCCCGGACACAAGTTTTCAAACTTTGCTTTTCCGCATTATGGTTGGACCGAGGACTATCCGACGTAGAAATTAATCTGCCGAGAAAACTTTTTCGTGAATGGGGGTGGAAGTCTCCCATTCAGGAAGTGGACGATTTACTATGATAGGATTCGGCGGCTACACATATGCGAAGCAATTGGCAGTGGAAAAATAAGTGTTGCTGTTTTAAAAAGTCGCCCAAAAATTACGATTAGCACGTGGGTAAAGTCTGTAATACAGTCTTAACTGCACAGCAAGTTTAAGGTATTTGAGCCATTTTCGGTGTCACGTTTCCAATATAGTAAAATTGTAAAGATATGATTTGATGGGATTGTTTTTGCGGTTTGTAACTTTTTGCTGAAAATGCCAAATGCAGCAGAAATATAACCTAAATAAACTTTTTCAAAATTTTGTGGAAGAAGGGCGTTCCGCTAAAATTTGCATTTGCCCTATATTTCAAGCCCTACTTGTGTGACCGTGGTCTCATAAAAATGGTAGGTGCACCATTAGTTAATTTTTTCGAGAAAAAATACGAATAATGGGTCAGTTGCACTGGTCACAGAATCGTGGTTTGATGCTTTATTCTTGCAGATAAACTAAAAATAATAAGATCTGTGCAAACAACAACTTTCTACGTTGAATATTAACCGAGATATCGCGCCTTGGAAAACTCGATTTAAGACGTCATCCACCGCGGTAGTACATACATACCATGTTGTACACTACCGCGGTGGATGACATCAAAATCCCGACTTTTCAAAGGACGATATCTCGGTTAATATTGAACGTAGAAAGTTGCTGTTTAGGCAGATCTTATCATTTTTAGCTAATCTACAAGAATCAAGAATCAAAACACGATTCTGAGATCAGCGCAACTAACTCATTGGTAAAATCCAGTTTGGATCCACGTTGGATCTAGAGTCCAGACTCTTGAAAACATTGACAAGAAAAAATACTCTTGATTCAATCGGATTTTTGCTTGAATCAAAACAAAATCCGCTTAAATTAAGAGACTCGGTTCTTGATTTAAGCTAGATTCTGATTGAATCAAAAGTACTTTTTCTTGTCAATGTTTTCAAGAGTCTGGACTCTAGATCCAGTATGTTTTTTTACCCAGTGTGTTTTCTGGAAACTGACTCGTGGTGGTTACGCCCTTCTTCGCAGAACCCATCAATTGAGCACTCATCATCGTATCGTATGCGACCAGCGGGTGAATTATTGAATCGTAATGGAGTGACCTTGATTGATAAAGCCCTATCTCAGCGATGTTATTTATCGATGAAGTCCATTCGATAGCGTTCCGGCAATCCGTGCGCTGGACCGCTACCATCACCGCCACGAGCTTCATGCGAAGGTGGTTTGGGGAACCGGTCGGTCGGGGTCGGGGTTTTCCTGGATGCTGGGGCTCACTCATAGCAACTGATGAATAAACAATTAACGACGGCCCGTTCATGCACATGGAGTTTTTCACAGGCGCCCGGCCCGGCTCGAACATCGATAGGTTAATGAACGGTCACCGAATTTACCGGGGGCGGACGGACCGGCGAACAGTGGATCGGGTCGATAGGAGAAGTCCGACCAAATTTGGAAACTTTAAACGCTTATAACTCCGTTCATACGAACTTTAAGGCTCCAAAATTTATTTCATTGGTTTTCTCATAACATTTTCATCTTTAGACACTCCTTAAACTTTAAAATGTAATAAAATAAACATAAAAATTTGCAGTTTTAGTCAAACATGTTATGTCTAACCTCTCTAATGGACCTCTAGACAAGGTACGAAGTTAAACATTCTAATACA